GAGGAGCCCGCTAGGAGGAAGTGACATTTGAGAAGAGCCTGAATGAAGGTGAGGGAAGAACTTTACAGGCATAGGACACTGACAGAGGTGGGGGCATTTGTTTGGGCTTTTGGGAGACAGGCCTGAGAGGAGAAGCATATGATTAAGTTTTGGGGCTGAGGAGGAGGGCAGCTCAGGATGTACATAGTATGCTAAGATGTGCAAACCCCTGAGCCTTGGTTAGTATAGACAGCTCTTTATATGCTTTTAATGATTTGTTACAGATTTTCCCCTTCCTTTTCATTTACTTTGCTTTGTTACCCTATCTCTGGAAAGACTGTGTTTGCATTGCTAACCAAAGGATAGAGCCTGAGTTCTATCCCAGATTTCCTCTGAAGAACAGTGAAATATAGGCAGTGCCCAGAGTATGAAGGAGTTCTGTTTGTAAATCTGTCTTAAATCAAATTGGTACATAAATTGGAAGAATTAGGTACAGTTTTATCTAACATCAGTTAGTCAAATGTTTGTATTAGCATATAATATGTAGTATACATTTCTATCTGTGAAAAGCATGAAAGAAACACTTTCAGATATGCTAAAGCATCTTTAACATAATAATATCGTAATGATAATACAGTAATAATAATCATCTCAATCGGAAGGAAGATTGGGCAGTCTGCTTCCATAGAGATACTGCCTCAGAAACTCAAAGAAGGGTTGCTATGAGTCGGAGACAACTCAATGGCACAAGACAACAACAATAATTGCAAACAATCGTTTGTTATTATAGACCATTGTATGTACCTTGAATTTTTAATATAATAGACTTTGGAGGGAGGGTGTCTCTGACGTTCTAACCTGACTGTCTGTAGACTGGTGGAGTCTCTGAATCTTGCCCAATGAATCCACTGTGATACCTAATGTGATTTTTTTGGGGGAAAAAATCTTTGTTTCAAAAACAATACGTTGTAGTATATGCCTTTATGTATATATTATATGGGCCTGCTATTTTAAATTTGAATAGTAGGAAATGAATTTCTTATTGAAGTTCGTAATAGAATTTTTAACTGGCAGCATGATCTATACTATAGCGTTTACTTCCTTCCTTGTGTTGGAATGCTTTGCATTCTCTGAAAAAGTTTCCCAAATCTGGCTTTTTTGGAGGAAGTGTAAGTTACTCTTCTGCTATTGTGGTAACTAGAACATGGCAAGAAAACACCCTGGAGCTTGTGGATGTTTTGTTGCCATCCTTGATAGTCTAAGGAATGTTGGTACAAATATGTTAACTATTACAGAGAAGTGTCTGCTTTGTCCCCAAATAGAGCTTTTTATTGTCTAACTTAATGTTTAATGCCCATTGCTCTCCTTTAATAGTCAGTTTATTTGCTTTTTTATCCACTGAATTCAGATCATTTGACTTTCCACTGATAAAATATTTACTTGTCGTATCAGGCAGGGTGCTAAACTTAGAAATTAAGTGTACTAAGTTAAATTTAAAATTTGTTGAAAAGTATTCGTCATGAAGTAGTCTATTTAATGTCTTGGCAGTGCCTCTGGCTCTTCTCATTTAACGTTTTGGGAGACAGACTGGCAGCAGTTGTAAGCTGAAACCTGGTTGTATGCTGAACGAGACTGATAGGAGTACGAGAGAAAATGGGGAAAATTTGAAAGTGTAATTGTGTATGTGTGTTTCCTTAAATTAAAATGTGACACATTTGCTTAAAATAGAATTTTATGTTGTTTGTCAAACCTATTATAACATCATGATAGATGATACTAAGATTGAAACTGGCTTTAAATATTGTTTTGTGGAATAACCAGATTTGTCTCTTACAATATTGTCATTATGTCAGACGAGTTGTTTTGATATAACGAGCATGTTTTACAATATGCTTAAGTCATTTGTCCCCAGTAGACCTGAAATTTATTACTCAGAAGAAAAGCACGCATTTACAATATATTCTTAGCTGCTCCTGTCTGTCACTCAGCTGTCAAGTCCTATGGAATCTAAAATAAAACCCGACCAATGGGAGACCGTCTGCACACTGTTTATGGGATGAGTAGGATGTGGGCATTTTTATCATGCACAGCAACGTCTGTGCTGCAGTGTTGAGGCAGCAGGATGCCGAGTGCTGTTCACATTTTCCGGTGGCGTCCCTGAAAGGGACAGCCTTGAAAGACAACTTCTAAAGAATAAGAAATAGGAGGGGTTACCGTACCTGACTTGGGGCTGCTTTTAATCAAGTGCTACGCCACAAGAAAGAGAATTTCCAAGAGTTATGAAGGCGGAGAAGGATCCTGAAGATGAAGACAGTATCGTTAGAGATCCAAGCTAAGTGTAGTACAGCATGAGGATTGTAGAACAGGAAAAGTTGTAGCGACAGGGACTGAGTCACTTGTTAGGGTTTTGTCTGAGGGCCTGCTTTTGTAAGCTGCAGAGATTTGTAAGTTAATGCAAAGTAGTTTCCTAAACCCTGTCTATGATGAAGTGTTGGCTTTCTTGTGCTCCTAAAAACAGAGTAGGTATCCTTGTAGTCTAGTAGTTCCACTGTGTTCTTTTAAAATGTACTACTGTTTTATAAATTTTGGTTTCTTTGTTGAATAGGTTTCTTTCTGATTTAGCTGATTAACAGATTGTGGTTAGTGTTAGAAAACAAAAGTACGTGTTTCTTTTTCTGGGTTTAAAAAGTACGTAATAGAATCTTAATATTTGGACAGAATTACTGTTAACTGACAGTGCACCAGGGCTGGAACCAGTGCTTGGTGGAGCATTAACAGTGTTTTAATAGGAGGATAAACTAATCAATTTAGGGCAAGTATTTGTGTGCTAAACATGACTTAATCCCTTAGGCATTTGAAAACACAATGCCTCTTAGGCCTACATTCAGGACCCCGCTCCAGTTTAGAGTTACTAAACTGCTTGTTTTGTTTCAAAACTAAAGAAAGGTAACGTGTAAAATGTATTTTGAACTTTGAGCCAGTTACGTCAGACTACTTTCTAAACTCATAGTTTGAACTTTTAGTATTAGGAGGAAATGGGTTCATCCTCAGATTTCACAAATTTAGAGACAACAATTCAGAAATCTGTGTATGCACTTGAAATAGGTGCCATTAAAATAGTAAATTTCAGGAGTGAGTTAAATTTTTAATGTGTTCTCTTTTCTCATACTCAATTTTCATATTAATTTTTCACTTGAAGGATTTAATGAGTACATTGCTTATTTATCAGGAAAATTGATGGTGACGACTTCTTTTCTTTGGAGAGATTAGTAGATATAAAATAGACACATGGTAAGCAATTACAGGATATACTCAGAAAGAAATTTTTTTTCTCCTCCCAGAGATTTGTTATAGTATCTGTGGACATAGGATTTGCCTTTTAGCTAAGTGAAAAATATGTAGCTCTTTTTTTGTTCTAGAAATAATGCTGGGTTTAATCTAGAATTTAGCAGTAAATTGGTATAATAGTTTTAAAGGCTAAAACTTTACCTGTTAAAATAGTGTGTATTTTAGTTCTATGTTCTGACATGTCTTGTAATTTCTGTTACTAACAGAGGATCAGTTATTGTCTCGAGAATGTCTTGAATATATTTTCTCCAATCAAAGCTAAAGAATACCTGTCTACATTTAAAATATATATTATGTGATACATTCTCCTATTTTTTTTTAAAAAAACTACTTTTGATCTTCCCTTTAAATACATGCGCAAAGAGTTTTTGTTAAAATTAAATAATCTTTTTACAAAAGCAGTATGTTAAAAGTAGACAAATGAAAGAAGAAAATGACTCGTGTAATCTTATCTTAATTAATGGAGTCTCTCTTTTTAGTTTTTTCTATGTATAGTGTAATTGGTTCTGTTTATCCTAATATTTAAGCATAATTAATTGCTTTCTCTATTGACCTTATATGTGTTGTTGTTATGTGCTATCGAGTCAGACCCGACTTACAGAGACCCCTCCTTGGGTTTCTGAGGCAGTGTCACTGCGGAAGTGGATTGCCCCATCTGTAGAGAGACAAAAATAAAATGATTTTGCCTTCTTAAGTATATTCCCACTAGCATCTTTTAAAGGAGCTCTGGTAGCATAGTGGCTAAAGCACTTGACTGCTAACCAGAAGGCTGGCGTAATGATACTGCCTCGGAAACCCAAGGAGGGGTCGCTGTGAGTCGGCGCCGACTCGACGGCACATAACAACAACAACAACAACAACAACAACATCTTTTAAATAAAACAGGGAGATGATCTTAAAATGTATACAGAATTACATGCATGTAAGGATCTGGGGAGGAGCTCTGGTAGCGTAGTGCCTAAGGCACTTGACTGCTAACCAGAAGGCTGGAGGTTCAAACCCACCAGCCACTCCTCGGAAGGAAGGTTGGGCAATCTACTTCTGTGGTGATACCGCCTCGGAAACCCAAGGAGGGGTCGCTATGATTCGGGTCTGACTGGATCGCATATAACAACAACAAGGATCTGGGGAGATGGATAATCAGAGCCAAGTCCAGGAACATGGGTTAGGGAATATGAAAAGCATGCTGATTTGGGAGCTAACAGAAGTGACGGTTGGGCTTGGCCACTTAAGATATTTAATAAAATAGAGCTTTGAATTTTTTCTTCTGTTAAATAGGGATGATAATTTTTGTTTATTCTAGAGTTGTTCAAGTAATTTATGCCTGACTTTGGGCAGGGTTCAACAATTATAAATTTCCTTTGTTTGCTTTGAAGTCTATTGAATGGGTATGTAAATGAATTGCTTGTAGTTCTGTAACTGGCCGGACAACATGAGAAAAATGATTGTTTTTTTCCTCAATAGAATTAAAAATATTTCTTGTAATACCTGTGTTTTGGAAAGGTTTTTAACTCTGCCCTTCTAGTAAAGTTAGTGTAATGGAAGAAGGAAATTTAGGATACAGTTGAAAAATAAGTGGTGAATTATTATGCAGTACTGCTTTCTCTTCCCTTATCAAGTCTTACTAATGTAGTATGCCGTTATTTCCTTTTTTTTTCTCCCCCATTTTGCAGCATGTAGTAGACTGGAGTAAATATGATGACCGATTGATGAAAGCAGCAGAAAGGGGGGATGTAGAAAAAGTGTCCTCTATCCTTGCTAAGAAGGGAGTCAATCCAGGCAAACTAGATGTCGAAGGCAGATCTGCGTAAGTATGACCATTGATAAAAGCATATCTGAAGGGAATTTGGGTGGACTCTTGGGATACAAATGAGATTTGTCAATTGAGGTTATCAGCTTTTTAATTTAAAAAGGCTTTACCAAAATCAACATTATAAAGTCTTTCAGAAATCTCTTTTAAACATCATGGACTAATAATTATTGTCAGTTGGAAAAATTTCCAATATAGAGAGAATATTAGAATACTATGCAGTCTTGTTGTTTAAGCCCTGTGGCAAACAACAGCCTTTGGTGCATTTATAAAGCATTTTCATTTTCCTTATCATGTTTGATCCTTGCAACAGCCCCATGAAAGTAATAGGATAAGGTTAGAGAGGTTAATTAATTTGGTCTAATTTCATGAAAAGTCACTGAGTTGGGATGTGAACCCAAACTTTGTCTTTATATATGTTCCCCCATTTTTGTACTTGGGTAATTGAGCTTAAATGAGAGCAAAAAGGGAGCCAGAGTAATGGTGTGGCTTAGGGAGACATAGGTAGTGATTGCACCCTTTTGTTTTTGTGTTCTGAAGAGGGCTCCTGGCTTGTATATATATTATTGAACCATATGTTTCTCCCACCCTCCTCATATCATCATTATTTCCATTCCTGTTGGAGATGGAGAACACTTGGGTTAAAGGGTAGATCCAGGTTCTGTTGTGACCCTCTGTAGTTATACCAGTTAAAAATCTTATTTGGGAAGAATACAAGATAAATATACAGAAATTAGTTGGATTCTTCTACACTAACAGAGAGAACTCTGAAAAGAAGATCAGAAAAAAAATACCATTTGCAGTAGCCCGCCAACAGATAAAGTACTTAGAAATAAATCTAACTAGATACTCTGGTAGCGTAGTGCTAACCAGAAGGCTGGCAGTTCAAACCCACCAGCCACTCCATGGAAGGAAGGTTGGACAATCTATTTTTGGGAGCTCTGGTAGCATAGTGGCTAAGAAACTTGCCTGCTAACCAGACAGCTGGCGGTTCAAACCCACCAGCCACTCCTTGGAAGGAAGGTTGGGCAATCCTACTTCCGTAGTGATACTGCCTTGGAAACCCAAGGAGGGGTCGCTATGAGTCGGGTTTGACTCGACGGCACATAACAACAACAGATACATAAAAGATTTATACAAAGAAAACTGTAAACCACTACCACAAGAAACCAAGAGAGACCTATAATAAATGGAAAAGCATACATGAAGACTTCTGTCCATGAGCATGGTATGTGTTTCTATTTTATGTAGGTCTCTTTTTTTCTTTTTTTCACAATACTACCCAAAGCGATATACAGATACAAAGTAATCTTGATCTAAATTCCAACAACATTTTTTAATGAAATGGAAAAACTAATTTCCAACATTATATGGAAAGGAACAAAGCCCTGGATATATCAAGCATTATTGAAGAAAAAGAACAAAGTAGGAAGCCTCATACTATCAGATCTTATAACTTACTGTACAGCCATGGTAGTCAAAGCAGCCTGATACTGTTACAATGACAGACACATAAACCAATGGCACAGAACTGAGAAACTAGAAGTAAATCCATCTACCTATAGCTGATTTTCAACAAAAGGTTGAAGTCCATTAAATGGGGGAAGAGATAGTGTCTTTAACTATCTGGCAAAACTGGGTATCTGTCTGAAGAAGAATGAAACAGGATCCATACCTTACACTATTCACAAAAACTAACTCAAGATGGATCAAAGACCTGAATGTAAAATCTAAAACTATAACATTCATGGAAGATAACATAGCACCCAAGCCATTGGGCCTAATTTATGGCACAAACAGACTATCAAATGTAACTCACAAACAACAGATGGTAAACTAGATGGCCATAATCTCCTAAAAATTAAACACTTACTGTGCATCGAAAGACTTTTTCAAAAGAGTGAAAAAGAAACCTACAGACTGGGAATAAAATTTTGACATATCTGACAAGGATCTAATCTCAAAAATTTTTAAAAAAACTTCAGTACTTCAACAACAAAAAGACAAACAACCCAATTTAAAAAACAGGCAAAGGACATGAACTGACACTTCACCAAACAAGGTATTTAGATAGCTAACAAACACATGAAGAGGTGTTCATAATCATCAGCCATTTGATCCGACTCATAGTGAGCCCTCCTTGGGTTTCTGAGGTGGAGAGATGCAAATCAAAGCTATAATGAGATACCATCTCACCCTGGCAAGAATGACACTGATTAAAACAACAGAAAACAGCAGAGGCTGGTGAGGTTGTGGGGAGATTGAACCTCTTATACACTGCTGGTGGGAATGTAAAATGGTATAAGCACTATGAAAAATAGTATGATGCTTCCTTAAAAAGCTGGAAATAGAAACACTGTATGATCCAGCAATCCCACTACTAGGTATATATCCTAGAGAAATAAAAGCCATCACACACACACACACACACACAAAATAGACATATGTACACCCATGTTCATTGCAGCATTATTCCCAATAACAAAAAGATGGAAACAACCTATGTGCTCAGCAGATGAAAGTATACAAAAAAAAAATCCCAAACATACTGCCGTCAAGTCGGATCTGACTCATAGCAACCCCTCCTTGGGTTTCCGAGGTGGCATCACTACGGAAGTAGATTGCCCAGCCTTCCTTCCAAGGAGTGACTGGTGGGTTTGAACTGCCATCCTTCTGGTTAGCAGTCAAATGCCTTAGGCACTATGCCTCCAGAGCTCCTACATATTGGTACATAAACACAATAGAATACTATGCAATGATAAAGAATAATAATGAATCTGTGGAAAATCTCACTACATGGATGAAACTGGAGAACATTATGATGAGTGAAATAAGTCAGTCACAAAAGGGCACATATAGTATGAGATCACTATTATAAAAAAAATCAAGAGAAGATTTACACACAGAAAGACACATTCTTTGATGGTTACCAGGGATGGGGGGGGGGG